GAGAAGCTAACAGTGAATTTGAGTTTTGACTAGTCTTTGATAGTGATGTTTAAAAAATTTTTTATGTATTCTGTGTCATTTGATCAAATTTTAAATGACCCAAAGTCGTCAAATAATGACCTGTCATTTGGGGCATTGAGGTCATTTGGTCATTTGTGCGTAAAATAATTTTATTGGTTCGATAACTAAAAAGCTATTAGTTTTCTAGTCGATAATCGTACAGTATAATTTAAAGTTTTACTAAGCTAGTCGTTATTTACTATGTCTTAAGTAAAGTTTCGGATGACAAATTGCATATATTCTAAAGCTTCATGTAATTTGAATAACTAACTCTATTGATTCATTTCCGCATTTCCATTTAAATAAAAAAATTCTTAATCTTCCATAAATGCGAAAATGAATTAATAAAAAGTTATTCAAAAAATTATATTTACTTTGGAGTATATACAATTTTCTTTAGAAGATTTACTTAAGGCATAAATATTGACTAGCGCTAATTTAATAAATTTTGAACTTTAAAAGAATTACAATTATTAATTGTGTTTTCATATAAAAATTTGCATTTATCCTGTAACCAATTTTATTATTAAAAAGTGTTACACCAATTAAATGACCTCAGTCATTTAGGCATTCGAAATGACCAATGACTAATTATTTTTCATTTGAGTCATCAGGTCATCTCAAGTCATTTATCATCCCTGGTTTGCGGTAGCCCAGGTTAATAACCCAGTTGGACAGTCAGTTATCGAAGAAATTAATGAAATATAGTATGAGTGAAATAAACGAATAAAGTAAATAAAAGATACTATGGAACCAGCTGTGGACCACGTAAGCAGCGACGTACGGTATATTCTGTAGTTGTGTTTTGCATGATCGAGTGACAAAGTTTATTTTCAGAAATTTAACTCATTTTGACAGTGATCCTTCAACTAAAGAATAAGTAATTAATCTCAAATGTCTGATTTATAAAATTATTTAAGTCAAAAGATGCATATCGATTTTATAACTTTGCCACGTGATAAACGAAAGAAAAAATAGTGATAATTATAAATATATAAAATTAATGATATTAAAATTTTATAGAAAAGAAGAATAATAAAGACTTAAATAAAAAAGTAAGCAAAAAATTATACAATAAATATTTTATAATTTATTAAAATGTGAAATTTTATATACGTACACCAAAATTAACCAAAGGCAGCAGCAAGAGCTATTATTTTCTGTGTGGTGCCCGCCGTAAAACAGTATTTGATTTTTGAATTGCCATCATAATTCTTGATTATTTTAGTATAATTGTGTCGATTAAAGAGTTGACCAAGTGAATTACCAGACATAAATGCTTCTAAAATATACACTCGCATTGGATTATTAGTCGTTGCATATGTTGTTACACCAAGTATTAAATCTTTTCCAACATCGGTGTCGTATGCCTCATTTTCTGAACAGATACGTGAATCGGAATCCTTATTATCCCATTTTCTGATGTTGTTAGAATCAGTGCACGTTGCACGTGAGACATTTTGTTGGTCCACATGGTCAATACAGTTTTCGTACGGTTGGCAATCCTGTCGAAGTACAAAGGTAAGATTTGGATTTCCTGCAGATGCGCATGTTACCTTCACAACGTTAGATGTCGTGCAATAGGAATTTTGATAGATAGGATAGCTCGGTTTGGTACAATTAGGATATGAGTCGCGTTTGACTAAGGAAATACCGGAATTTATAATTAGATCCGGTGATATCTCTAGGGGTATTCCCATGGCCACGGATGTAATCGCAACCAAAAAGAAAGCGTATAACAATATAATAAACATGTTTTCTATTCTCTTCTTTTTCCTGAATAGGATGCAAAAGAAAAATAAAATGAGGAGCTAATAATACTTTAAGTTCTTCTTGATCATTCAATTTATATATACATAATAATCTATTATTTCACCTAAAATGACACCTCTGAAATATAAAATTTTGAATAAAAATCAATATGGTAAATATAATATAATTCAGAAAGACCAAAGAAGGCTTTGATTATGAGCTTACCAACTGCTTAGAATTACCTGGAGGCAAATAAATTCTACGATCGTATTTGGAGAATAAAAAGATTCAGAAACTGGTAAATATGAGAAAAACTATTTGAAAAGCTTTCTTATTGTGGACAAAAAAAGTTGATGTAGTACATACGTAGATGCGACAACGCTATCGATTTTCTGTCTATGTAATTACTCAAATTACACAGAATTAGACCAGATCCGTGTGTAAAATATCCAAAATTACACAGATCAATATAGATCGTACGGTACGGGGGTAAAAATATCCTATTTAAAATTCGTACGTACGTACGTATATTATGCTGATCTGATGTGATATATCCTTTAACGTTAAAGTTAGGAATTACAAGCAAATAGCATTGGTATTAGTATAGTTTTAAAACAGTATATCTCCCCTCTATTGCTTCAGGGAACACAGAGATGAACACTATGAGATAAAACTAAAATCTGATTGACTGTCATCGATATAAATTATGGTTGTTCTCAAGCATCTCCCTTTGTGGTTAATAAGATGATCTTATTGGTTAAAAATGGATCGTGTTTATTACTCTGATTGGCTAAAATTAAAATCCTCATTTGTTCAATCATTTCGATGATCGTCGATCACTAGCAAATCTTACTGAGGGTGTTGCTTGAGAACACCCCTATGTCACATGCTAATCATTTCGTTACATGGCTAGATTTGTATTGCAAACGATATAGCCTGAATTTATATTCTAAGTTCGAAGTAATATAGCAAGTTTTATCCAACTTTTAGCTATAATTAAGCTTGCCAAATAAATTGAGTTATTGGCCGCTTATATATAAAAAAAAAATCTTTTTTAATTATTTTAGGGGGCTGGTAATCGTACCCCCCACATTTGGTATTCATACCCCCCAGAAAAACAAAAAAAAAATTAAAATCTAAGCAAAGATATATCGATGCCCACCTGATCAAACTCAATAAATTTTTTTTTATTTAAATTCTACAGATTCGTAAAATTCAAATAAAAAAAATTTTGTCGAATTTGGTCATGTGGTCGTCGAGATATCTTTGCTCAATTCAAAGAAAAATCAAAACGTCTATCAAAATAGAAGGTGCGCAAATTATTTTTAAAACTTTGAGCGAAGATATCTCGACAGCCACCCGATCAAACTCGATGAAAATTTTTTTATTTGAATTCTACAGATTCGTAGAATTCGATAAAAAAAATTTGTCGAATTTGGTCATGTGTTCATCAGGATATCTTTGTTCAAAGTCAAAGAACAATCAAAAACTTCTATCAAAATAGAAGCTGCGCCAAATTATTTTTAAAATTTTGAGCGAAGATATCTCAACAACCACC